CCGCTGAAGCTGGCTGGAAAGAAGCAGCGTTAGCATCTCAAAAAGACGAAGTGACAAGGAGGGGCAGGTGACAAGGAGGGACATGTGACAAGGAGGGGCAGGTGACAAGGAGGGGCAGATGACAAGGAGGGACATGTGACAAGGAGGCACATGTGACAAGGAGGGACATGTGACAAGGAGGGACATGTGACAAGGAGGGGCAGGTGACAAGGAGGGGCAGATGACAAGGAGGGACATGTGACAAGGAGGGACATGTGACAAGGAGGGACATGTGACAAGGAGGGACATGTGACAAAGAGGAACAGGTGAACAGCAACAGAAACAAACAATACATGAACAGCAACAGACACTCGAAAAAGAGGTCACTTACACGGGTCGTCAGCCGCCCATACGAGAGAGACTGAGAGAAAAAATGCAAGGAATCCTGCTTACATGATTGCTTAATCCCACAACTGCCCTGCCTACATAATAACTTAACCCCACAATTGAGACCCGCAGTCAATCACTGCGATTTCAGTTGTGGGGCGCTCAGGAACAATTGCGCCTATGAACGCCAAATCCCATCGGGTGCTGTTCAACGAGTTGTTTGGCGACAATTCTAGTTTGACAATTTTCGAGCTTTCCTTAGGATGTTACCACCATTGATACATAGAGAAATGAGCAAGTTTCATTCCCACTTACAGCCCGAGGTTTGAAACATTGTGTTTTGAGAAATTTGGCTCACACAATCGGATCAAATAAAACAGAAATAGTTCAATTAGATTTTAATATTCAATCCAAAGATTTCCAAGATGGACGAAGTAACTTTTCCACATCCTGATGTGATGAAGATGAAGGTGGCAATTAGCAAAGTAAATGTTGACGTACGTTGATCTTAATGATTGATTCAGGCAACAGAATAGAAAGGTCCTCCACGGCATTGCTTCAGGAGGATCCAGCACAGAATACTGCAAGGTATAGATGAATATTTAAAGCAATTGTTCTATCAACCTCGTTATCGCTAAATCAATATCAGAATCAGAGTAGTGACAACTATGTATATATATGAATGGACAAGTCTACAGTTCACAAACCTAAGATTTAGATGCGTCTCAGTGATAATTACTAGCTTTTAAGAAGGTGGCAAATTTGAGCTTAGAGAAATCAGTGGAAGGTAGGTACTCTAGACGGGAAATATAGTAAGTACAGTAGGAGATTTGACTTTTGAAAGGAAGAAAAAGCTTATATAGCAGTGGACTACACATGCGGATGCCAGCTCCGCATGAAATTTAGAAGCCTCGCTATATAATTTAATTGATAAATTGAATAGTTGATAAAGTTGATTGATAATTTAAATTGTAAAGTTGATAAGATAATAATTTTGATCGATAAGTTGGCAGGATCGGATTAATTTGATTGTCTACAGTACCGTAGTAAACAAGCTTAATAACAGAACGTAAATAAAAATATTTTGGTTCATTAATAAATTGTTTTTATTAAGGTTTAAGGAGGTTTTAAGGAGGTTTGGTTCATTCGTAAGGTTTTGGTTCATTTATAAATTGTCCGAATAACATTTTAAATATTCATTGGCCAGGGAAGGATAATAACAAGACGTGTTTCTAAGCGTAAGTATTAAAGATAGGTTCACGGGATACACTTGATAGAAGTTACAGGATCAAAGCACAGTATGTGCAGTAATTTTGGAGATAGAGCATTACGACACTGCGTGTTGGTTATGAGTGCCGGAGTCTAAGACGACGTGAGCTAGTCTAGAGTTTGCAGGCTCTACGATGACTGCCTAAGACTGCGACTCTTCTAAGACTGACTGGCAGTCGGCTAACCGAGCTTATATAAGCGGTGACCCGCGAATAGTGACGTCACAGAAGGTGACGTAATAGTCACTAATGACATCACGACCTGACAAATGATAGCGATATTACTACGGCCTAAAATTCTCACGAGGTTAGAAAAATAATTGAATTTTCATCTAGATATATGAAGTGGTCTGCGATAATAGTGTGATATCAATCAAGTCGTGGGTTGAAGAACAATATTAAGTATTGATATATTGAACCGTATTTGAAGGCTAAAAACAGTACGGGAAAAATCTCTGACAATATCTCATCGATAACGCTGGAATGATTATGCTTAAATTTTCCACCAAGTACTCTTCCCATATAGAACGCTTCGTTTTATTTACCTCTTATTTTGGCTTTTTGTTACCCATCGCTGCCTTCTGACCGCTTGCTATAGCCAAGGGATTCAAAATACGAAATATTCGTATCAATTAACGCTGATATCATATTGCTCTCTTTTCTTATCAGCTATCAAAATCAAAAAAATTTATCAAAATCAAAAAAATCTTATCAGTTATCAAAAAAATTAATTTTCTGTGACTTAATTTTGTGGAACAACTCTCTCAGCACATACA